AGTGAAGACAGGCCATCTAAGTATCTAAGTAAGTAAGTAAATGGAAATCCTGAGTTGTCTAAAAAGGTGGCAAAGAGCACAGCAAAAACCGATACGCTAGCAAATTCTTGATGAAAAAGCCAGAATGATGATGGGCTACAGAAGGCTATACATGCATGAGAGAGCGCAGATACCAATTGCTAGTAAGACAATTTCAGGACGGTGGGAACTGCGAGTTCACAGATTCGATTATTGACTGTATTTGTTTGGGAAGCGAATGTAACAGGCCAGCTAATATCAAAGTCAGTCTATCTTGAAAGTTCTCTTCAGCAAATACACAAAGTTCAAATGTCGTGATATCTGAAAATATGCTTTTAGTACATATTCGCGAAGCAAGTTGGAAAAGCCCATTCGCAAAAAATAATGAAGAGATTGCTTTGCTATTTGACTGACGGCGATCTCTACGGTATGGAAGGGCAAATCAAACTACAATTCTTATTTTATCGTTGATCTCTTCATTCAAAAATTGTACCTGAAACATTGGTTTGGAGTAATTAGTGATGTTAAGAGTTTGAGCCTACATATATTGGAATAGTACGTCGTTATGAACCTTTAAATACTCATAACTTGATTTGAGGAAATAAAACAGAACCTGAAATTACGACCACTACCGCGCAAGATGAAACTATGGACGAAACAGAAACAACGGAGGTATTCCTTTGAAAAAGCCTGAGTTCTAGAGCTATGGCTAATCATTTCATTTTAGGACACTACAACTGAGGTTACGCAATTTACAAAACTTACAAGAAGAAAATGGACTGTACGTGGTTGACGCTTTCTAATAAACGCACCAGTGTTCTTTTATGCCACATCCACCTTTTGGAACAAACGGATTCCTAGCAAAGCTTTTATTTCACAAACTTCCTATAGCGATGTAAAACTGTCCAAGAAAGTGGCTAAAAATACATTATTGAGAAAGGCCTTTGATCAAGAAGTGCCAAAATTAAAACCCGAAAAAGCATAACAAACTCAGCTGACACTCAAAATAAGACTTGAAGGATTATTAAAGAGTTACCATTAAACACTTCACGAAATTTTAGAGGAACGCAAATAAAAGTAAAGGCTCTTCATCTGCTCCTCGAAAGAAAGGAACTGCGGATCAGAATGGAGTACATCATACAACGAAGGAGAACGATATGTGAGTTTTGAGAAACTCTCTTCATCTTGATATTCTCGTAGAGAGTTGCAGTTACCCAAGTGATTGTAAAACTTCTTTTCAGAACCCCAATCGTCTTATACATTGTGTTTGGCTTACTCCTACTTCTTCTAATCTGCGCAAATGTTGTGTTCTACACACTTGTGGTGGTCTACATGAGAAAGGAAGCGGATGAGAGAGCTAAAGCTTTGATAGCCAAGAACAACACGTTGCCAATGAATAGTCTTGGAAGTGTTGGGCAAACAAATCCGTCAGTATCACAACGCTAGTAGTCGTGCCATTTCAAGCGCATATTTATTTCATTCATTCAGAATTGTGCAAGGGTAACTTGGCATTTATAACAAGATCAA